ATGGTTAAGGACCCAGGCTTTCCAGTTAGACCCGTGAAGCGCCCAGAATTTCCATACTGAATGGGTTTAGGAGTGGCTGGCTCTTTGGGAGAGAAGAGGACAAGGGGATTTGTGCTAAAGCTGCATTAGCATAGAAATCACCTTGTTTGGACTAGATCAGGTAGCCTGCTTAAGCCACTTCTTAGTACCACCTTCGCTATAGACACATATGGGTTAAAGTAATTTCCCCAAACCTCAGTTCCCACGTGTGGAAAATGGGAATAATAATAGTAATAATAACAACCCCAGCAGGCTGTTCTGACAGTTGCTGAAAACATGTGTGTCAAATCTTTAACATTCAGTAAGCACGCAAAAAAAAGCTATCTTTATTATTACTGTAATATCTTCAGTTGGTTGTATTCCTCACACATTAGAATGTTAGAGGTAGAAGGGAGCTCAGAAACAGCAAAGACAGAGCCTTTGGAGTCCACAGACCCCACCGTGGGTCCCGTCTCTACTCTCTCCTAGGAGGGTGACCTTGGGCAGGTCACTCACCCAGTAAAACCACCTTATGTGAGAATCACCTGGACTTGTTAAAATTCAGATTCCAAGGCCCCTCCCCAAATATTCTGATTAAGTAGTTTAATGGTGGGGCCCAGGGATCTGCATTTTACAAGTTTCCAGGTGATTCTGGTCCACGAAGCCTGTGGACCATAGTTTGTGAAACGTTGACTTAATCTCTTGGAGTCTCAGGCCGTTTCCTCCCACAATGAGGCAGTGCTACCTGCTCTGTGGTTTGTGTATGGAAGCATCTAGCTGTGAATCTGGTTTATCGAAGGTGTTCAGAAACGGCTCCCTTCCCTCCAGATATTGTCTGTTCAGCTATTTCGTCCATGCATGTGCATCGACTGCCAGAGACAAGACCAAAATCTCTGGAAGGTGCTAGAAGTTGACAGAAATCAGCTAATAAATTAAGATGATTAGAGTCTGGGAAACACACAATGTAATTTGAAGAACGTAGGCTGGTAATATAACGATTCCCATTCCCTCCCCACAAGTCAACCATGTATGGAAATCAGAAATTCCACCCTGATGAGCATGTGCTCAGATGCCAGAAACCATGGAGCGGCAAGCAGGGCCGGCACCATCACCATCGGCAGCAAGCAGTTTCCAAACGAGTTCTGGAAATTTGATTACTTGCCGGCCTCTGATTCATTAATGTAATATTAGAAGAAAACTAACAGGGGATGATGACCTCAGAGGACATATGGGGAGAAGGCCAAGTCCATGCTGAACTGAGTCAGCTACAGAGAAAATGAAACCAGTTTGCCCAGGAGCACAGGAGCTTTTAAGGTTCTTGTTTGCTGTGTGTACATTCCATGGTCTTAGCTGCAGATGGCTCCTGCTGTTGCTATAGAATGGCAACTTTGAAGCCCTGGTGTCTATAATAAGACATATGAGCTCACTTGTTAATGCTTTTCCTTCCTGTTTTACTTTTCAGTATGTTAAGCTGCTATTTAACTTAGAATTGTCACAATCTGTGGCATTATATAATGATATAACTTCTTTCCTGTAAAATTGGTTAAGACTTTGTGATACTTCTGATTGGAGGGGGATTAAAAACTATGGAGAAACATAAAGCCGTATTTATATAAATGCAAAAAAAAATTATTTCCATCAACTCTCCCCAAAATGAGTTGAGATAAAACCATTAAGACTTTACTTTTTTTTTTTCATGCAGAGAATATACTTTAAACTGATTCCCCTTTCCCCTCCTTTTCATCCGTTGTTTGTGGACATAGGATAGATAGCAGCTGGGGAGGAGATGAGAAAAATCTACTAAAAACTGGTTCTGTTTAACAGTTTAAATTCAAACTTGCTTTTTAAGAGAAAAATCTTGTAATGTTTTATTCAGGTTTAGCAATGGCAACATCATTAGAATTGTAGCCTGCCTCACAGAAAGAATTTTTATAATTATAAACTCCTAAATAAAGCTTTGAAACAGAATCTGATTTGTCTATGGGGAGGTTTTTTTTTTCTTTCCATTTATTCGTACATTTGCTCATTCATTCAACAAACATTGGCTGCTGCCATCTGTGCTAGACAGGGAAAGAGGGAGTTCAGAGAATTGTGCCCTCAAGGAATACCGATCTTTTGACCCAGCTTCCATGGAGTCCTCTATGTGCTCCATCCCAGCATGTTGGATATTTTATTGAAACTACTGATTCAGCAAATACCTGTTGAGTGTTCCCTTTTTGTTGAGTGAGGGGCTACATGGTCCCTGCCTACCCATGGGGCTCTTGTGGGGATTAAGTGGGTTAATACAGGTCAAGTGCTTGGCTCTACACTTGGGGCTTAGACAGTGTTTAATAGATGCCAGAGGAATGAAGTCAGTCAACTTAATGCCCAGTGGGAAACTGTTGCTGGGAAGAGACTGGTAGACCCTATGGTAGTGGGCTTCAGTAGGATGAGATGATAGAGAAGGATAGGCTTTTACCATCTTTTGGCAGCAATAATTCTGCACATCTCCTGCAGTCATGCTTTCCAACCTGCTGGTTTACTTACTTTTGCTTAGGCTTCTCTCTTTGGTTTCAGCCACTTTGTGATTCCTCCTTTCCTTCCTCCCTCTCTCCCAAGTTTCCCTCATATTCACATCTTCATTCTGTCATAAAATCCCAGCAATATTACTCCACTAAATTTATTCAAGGTAATATAAGAGCAGCCATTAGGGGACAGGCTGCCCAGGAAGACCCATAGGAACACTGAGTCACTGGTCTGTAGGAGTTAGGGCCAGGGGCTAGGCTCAGCGCCTATAGGTTGGGCTGACCTGAGGATGGGAGGTCATGGTGTTCCTATTATAGCTTAAAGCATCTATGTACCATCGACTCTTGAACAACATGGTTTGAAACACATAGGTCCACTTACATGCAGATACTTTTCAGTGGTAAATACTCTAGTACTACATGGTCCATGGATGCAGAGGGCCAACTATAAGCTATACCCAAATTAACTCCCACATTGTTCGAGGGCCAACTGTGCATTCATACCTATCGCTATAGGCACCTGCATATAGATCTTACTCAGGGGACTTTGATATTCTGAATTATGGAACAAAAATGGTGATTCCTCTGTTGAGAAACACTGAAACCAGGATCAGTGACTGGAATATTTGAAATAAAAGAACGAGGGGTTGTTGATTCTTGGTAGGGGGTGGGGTGGGGAAAACATCTTGAAGAGTTCAGCTGTTATTTCCTTAGCACCCATTTAGATATTGTAATTATACAAGATTGTAGTCAAGGAAAATATATGTCTTCTGCACTTTAAGAAAAATTTTAACAAAGAAAGAACTTTGCTTTTTGCCTCCCAAGGAGTCAGTCCCTAAACATATCTTTTACCTTCCATGGAGGTAGTGTCTCTCCTACCAGTGTGCAAATTCCATGGGGACAGGACCATATTTACTGTTGGTCACTATAAATCCCCAGAGCCTGGTACAGTATCTGGTACCCCAAAGTGCTCAGTCCACATCTATTGATGTAAAATAATCAGGTGTGTGAAGTCATTTTGAAAGACTGCATTCTATAGCTCAAATAATCTGAACAGGATTCTCGACCAAGTGACAAACTAAAAAACCCAAGAGATCATAGATAGCAAACCAGAACACGGTGTTAAGGAATAGTTCCACTAATGGAATTTTAAACCGTCGATACGAGTTCCAATAACATATTCTGTTTTTAAGCAATAATTGTTTGAGGAACTCAGAATTGACAGGATGACACTCTTGCTTCTACAGGGAAGTTCATGCTGAGGGCCCAAGCCTGACTGTTACTGTGATGATCTAAACATTCATTGTGTTAGTGGGTTCAATCTTCAGACTCGGGGAGGAGTCACTTGTGAGGAAGACATGAAGGAAAAAAAAATCAAACCAAACAAACCCTGACTTCACCTTTTTAGCATCAGCAAAAAATGACCAAACCCAAGCCATCTGAGTCATCCCTGGATATATGGAACCTAAACAGGTGAATTCAGCAGAGCTGGTTTACTGACAGAGTAGAATGACTGTCCAGTCTGCATAATTAGTGGCAGTTGGTTTGAAATCAGATCAAAATATGCATGAAGGGCAAATAAGTTGACTCAGTGGCTCACCTAAGATAGAGTTACATTCTAGGGATGAGAAAGAAATTAAGTTAAGCCAAAAAGAAATCAGGATATGGAAAAAAAAGAAAACCGATACAGATGGAAAATAAAATCTCAGTATTGTATCTGTCAGTGAATTATTGGATTACTTTGATAAACTGTTGATAAGAGCTGACAAGCATTTTGTTCTATTCGATGGGTTTTCTTCCTTGTTCACTATAGCATCTTTCATGATACTATGTTATTAAACAGAAAGTTCCAAACCTTAACTAACCAATAGTTGCCTCCTGTGTTAAGGATAATGACTTCATATAGCAGGAAAGTTTGTTTTAGGGAACTGACAGAGTGTGTCTGCAAATAGGCAGCTGAATTGGACCCAAGATTTGGTTCTCAAATTTACCGTGGCTCATTAGAAAGTTTTTGGAGCAGAGGGACAATTATTTCTTGGATCTTGGTGCTTGCAGTTGTATAAACAGGCCACAGAGGAATGGAATGACCAAATCTTTACATTGCATCTTTTTAACCATGCATGTATGCACATGGCTGTTGTCACTGGTGTCAGGCAATCCAAACACAAGAAAATTATTTCTAATTATTGCCAATGTCCTTAATGGAACTATTTGTAAAAACAAACAAAACTATGTGAGGTAGTTTTGTTATATATATATTTTTTGTGGTAGCATAGTCACTTTACAATGTTGTGTCAATTTCTGGTGTACAGCATAATAGTTCAATCATACATATATATACATATATTCGTTTTCATATTCTTTTCCATTGTGGGTTGCTACAAGATACTGAATATAGTTCCCTGTGCTATGTAGTATAAGCTGTTGTTTATTTCATACATAGTAGTTAGTATCTGCAAACCTCAAACTCCCAAGTTAAAAAATACGGAATACTTCATGAGTTTGCATGTCATCCTTGAGCAGGGGCCATGCTAATCTCTGTATCATTCTAATTTTAGTATATGTGCTGCCGAAGTGAGCGGTATTACATTGTTTTGACTCCTTTTGTTTCAGTGTGAATCTCTAGCAGTTTCCTTTTTTTTTCTTAACTAATTATTGTTGAAATGCATAGTACTCACAGACAGAAGTAAATGTGTTTAAGGGCACCTTATGCTAACAGGTGCAACTCTGGACTGTCAAACCTGGGTCCAGAATCTTGACTGAAACAGTTATGAAGGCTGAGCTGGTCCCAATCTCTTCCTCTTATGAAACTGGGAGGGTCTTCCTTCACATGCAATTTTATGAGGACAACAATAGAAATAGTTGAGGATGACTAAAATTATACTATATATTAGAATGAAAACTATACACAGTTCACTTTATCTATAACTCAAGTATAATCATATGAAATGGAATCCCTCAATGGGAGGATGTACAGAGCTCAATTTATAATTTTAAAAAATGTTAGAGGTAAATCTGCCAGCAATTTCTCTGTATGGGCAGGAATGGGAGTCACTTTGGAGGATAGTGTATATTTTTAATTGTGGTAAAATATACACAACATAAAAGTTACCATTGCAATTGTCTTTATGTGTATAGTTAGAGACATTAAGTACATTCGCAATGTTGTACAATTATCAGCATTATCAATTTACAGAACTTTTTCGTCATACCAAAGTGAAACTTTACCCGTTAAACAATAACTTCCCATCCCCTCTCCTCCAGGCCTGCACAACCACCATTCTACTTTCTGTCTTTATGAGTTTGCCTAGTCTAGGGATCTCATATAAGTGCAGTCATACAATATTTGTCCTTTCGAGTCTGGCTTATTTCACTTAGCGTAATGTTTTCAAGGTTCATCCATGTTGTTGTGTATGTCAGAATGTCCTTCCTTTTTAAGGCTGAATGATCCATTGTGTGTCTGTACTACGCTTTGTTTCTCCATTCATCAGTTGATGGACACTTGAGTAGTTTCTACCTTTTGTCTATTGCGAATAATGCTGCTATGAACATGGGTTTACAATTATTTCTCTAAGACACTGCTTTCAACTCTTTTGGGTGTATGCCACGAAATGAAATTACTGGATCATATGATAGTTCTATTTTAAATTTTTTGAGGAACCTGCAAATTGTTTTCCACAGTGACTGCACTCTTTTATATTTGGAGTATGTATTTTTTTGATGCAGCCTCTTTTTGATATGAAACTGTAAGGCCAGCAGGCCCTCTGCCATTGGGAATCTGTCACTGGACTTTTTTGTTGAACTCAGCAGTGTCTCTTTCCTTGGTGTTGAGTGTAGGAAAGAAGAGATGCACTAATGACATAAGGAGCCTGGGGTCCTGACTGATGTGGAAGGATATCTCAACCCCTTTACTGTTTGTGTTACCACTTGTGTTTTCTGCACTGGACAGAGGGGAACGCCCTGACACTTCCTGTGCTACACCATTAAACTCTGGCTGCAGAACCTCAGGGAGAAACTGTTAAATTTTCCTACCATCCAGTGGGCTCTGGTATAAAAAAAGCTGGCAGGACGCAAAATTAACATCTTTTCTTGATTAAAAAATAGTATGACAACATTAAGTTCCATATTAATGGAAGAAGTGCTTTGGCACTCATTGAAAACAGTGCTTTGGGTATGGAAAATTATGTGAGGAATAGCGCTAAGTTCTGAGCCCTGTTTTAAAAAACAATGCCACTAGTTCATTTGTCTGAATGGGACCGAACATGGTGGAAAAGCATTAGGGAAGAGATTTCTGTTCACATTTAGGTTCTTCTTTTAAAATTGAGCCATTTTATCTCTTTTGAAAAATGGAGAATTCTCATCCGCCCACCCTGACCACCCCTACCCCCAAACACACACCAGGGTCTCATAAAGTAGCTTTTCTGTGTGAGTGATTAGTTTCTTTCTCCGTGCAGATTTTTTTGGGAATTGTCATTTTGTGCCTACAAAACAAAAGAAAATTTGATTCAGAAGATTAAAAACACATTCTTGCCTGCTCTAATTATAAAGATGAAAAGCATTGGGCCTCATCTCAACAATGAACTTAGAGGATAAATATATGTTTGTCCAGATGTTTACCAAGCTTGAGAGAGCACATTTCATTTACCCTAAACCTCACAGTACAAAGTCTTCCACTGGGCCCCAGTGCCCACACACGGCACCTCAGTGCCCTCTAGTTTGTGTGTCAGGCCTTCAACTGCTTAGATGAGGCCCACCCATAATATGAAGAACAACTTGCTACTCCCAAAGTTCACCAGTTTAGATCCTAATCTCATCCAAAATCACCCTCCAAATAGACACATAAAATGAACAGGACATTTTAACTTAACAGTGACACTTAACTCCAGGACAAGGGCCTTGTCAGTGTCAAGAGGTACTTGGCTTGAGCTATTTCAGTGGCACAAAAAAAACCCAAAACATTAAGTGTATTGTTTTGGTGAGTGTTTATATTCGTGTTTCATTGTACTCAGTAATGAAACACTTCTTTTTCACATGTCTGAGTAAATGAAATGATCAAGAAAAAATGTGTCCCCCATGTGTTCAAAAGCAGAGGAAACTGCTAGCTAACTTTGGGATGCTATATATAGTAATAACACTAATAGTAGCTTTTAATTAGTGCAATTACTTCCTGATCATTGAGGACCCCTATATAGTTTTTCAATTATCTAGGTTCCTTAGATGGTTCATTTTATGTGTCTATTTGGAGGGTGATTTTGGATGAGATTAGGATCTAAACTGGTGAACTTTGGGAGTAGCAAGTTGTTCTTCATATTATGGGTGGGCCTCATCTAAGCAGTTGAAGGCCTGACAAGAGCAAAAAAACTGATCTCCCCAAGATCCAGGTGCCAGCTGATTTGGTTCCTGGTGAGGACCCACTTCCTGGCTTGCAGATGGCCACCTTCTTGCTGTGTCCTCACGTGGAAGAAGGAAGGTGCTCTGGTTGTTCTCTTCCTGTAAAGAAACTAATCCCATCATGAAAACCTCAACCTTTGAAACCATAAAAGACTCGTCTAACCTTAATTACCTATAAAAATCTCCCTCTCCAAATACATCACATTGGGGGTTAGGACTTCAACGTATGAGTTTCAAGGGTACATAAACATTCAGTCCATGAGGACATTGTACAAGTCACACACTGTGAAGGTGTTTGCAGAAATGCTGCTAGGAACGCTTCTAAAATGTTAACTTTTTGACTTCAGCTGGACTTGGATCCATCATTCTCCTGTTTAAAGTAGTTGGTTTTACACATGCAGAGGTTAAATATACTGCATCTTACTTCACTTGAAGAGGAAATCTGTGGTCCTCTCAGCTCAGTAACAGATGGCCAAAGTTTACAAAACCACTAAGAAAACATAGTCAATGTATTAAAACAAAGGTCACTGCTAAAGTTGAACCATTTCGTTCATGTTTTGATCCATAATGTAACAGTGCTCTAATCTGGAAAAAGAAAATACTGGGCATCATTTAAAAAGCAGTAACACCCGCATTTAGCTGTTCAGAGCAGTTTCTTTTTTTGGATGAAAAGGCATTAAATAAAGTATTTCTAAGGGAATGGTTCCATGCAGCAACCTTGATGAGAAAATTACTGATGTGATTGGCATCCCAGTGCCTTCACTGTGATGAAAATTGAGTTATCTTCCTCTTAATATTTTGTGGCTAAAAATTTGCTATGCAATATGACATTAATGAAAAATCTGGAAAAGAATTAGGAAGTAATTATTGTTTACATGAAACTATTCAATTACTTATGGAAGAAAATCGCTCAACTTCAATCTGACCTCATTCTCCAAAGGGAAAATGTACACTTGACAGTCCACTGTCAGTATCTATCTGTCTGTCTGTCTGTCCGTCTCTCTTAGTATCACTCTCATGGTTAATCAGAATGTCTCAGGCATTGTAGAAGTAAGAAATCTAGGGAGAAAGTATCTTCCTGACATCACAATCAATTCATTTGTTTATTTATATTTAATTGATTGAAATAAGTATGTGAGCGATATTAAAAAAACTATTCTGTGCTTACCCTGATCTGCATCGGCCATAGGATGATCAGAAGCTGTGGTTACTCAGGGCACATGCGTCTATCCGTGATTCCCTATGGACTCCACCCTCCACCTCACCCACTGCCACGACTGCAGGTGTTTTGATCGTGATAGTAAAGGTGAAGAGCGAGGGTGCTGAGTGAAGTCGGGAGTCATGCCTGGGAGGCGAAGGCGCAGCTCGAAGAAAGGGCCTGGGGGTCCTTGTGAAGGAGATGAAAGAGGCAGCCTTTCTTGTAGACCCTTCAGTCCTTCACGTGAGGCCATGTTTCCAGGAATTGAACTGTGACAACATTTACTTGGGGAATTTAAAGGGAGCAAAAGAACACATCACCTTTGAGCTTTTCTTTTCCTTTCTTTTTTTAACATGAAAGTGACACTCAGTATGTAGAATGAGGAGACCAGGGGTCACTACAAGGTGACACAAGAGTGGAGAGTCAGAGAGAGTAAAGCAGTGAAACAGAAAGGCTGGAGTTATGCCATGCCTTTCTTAAAAGTTTAAAGATGCTATAATTTCTGTGGCACATAAAACCCTCCAATCCCCAAAGACCATACATGAGTCAAAATAGTGGATTGTGTCTCTCTTATTTTTTCTTGTCTTCTAATAATAGTATTAAATAACTGTATCATGTTTGCTGATAAAGACATCACAGTGACCTCAATTTTCAATCGCTTGAATGCATCCTAAGGCAATTATACTTGTTAGGTCATATGAGACAATTTCATATGAGAAACATATATTTGAATTAAATACAGTGACGATAACAATGACATGCATTGACTGCTTAACACACGCCAGACTGTTCTAACTGCGTCACTTCTATTAACTAATTTCATTAAGGAGAGGAACAAGCATCATAGAAAATACAAATTTTATGGTTGGCAGAATAATTCATTTTTAAAATGTGGAACTGCTAAATGTAATAAGGTAAAAATAAAACATGTGTGGTTGGTCACGTGGATCCCAGGTGACACGAAGAGGTAAGGTATTTATAATATCTAAAA